AAAAGAGTAGCCCAAGAGTTGGCGGTGGGTGGTGATGACTAGCTGCCTTCCCTCTAGTCTTACACTGCTAAATTAGGGACGGCTAGCGCAGGTAGCCCTCGTGTAGCTTTGCGCGAAATTCCAAAACAAACAAACAAACAAACCCTCTTTGGTAAAGGTTTGTTTGTTTTAGAGCAAAGCCACAATGGGCTATCTGTTGTGTCCATCGTGGGGAGTCGAACCCTGGATTTTAGCGTTGTAAGTCCGTTGACTTACCGCTGTCCCACCGGGGGACCTTGGGTGAAAGATATGTTCATTTTAAGCTACAAGTGGATATTTACTTCTTAAGTTTAAGTTATATCTTTAACACATTTGTTTGAAAACAAATTAATCTTAAACTTGTTTCTTGCTTGACTATTTGTTCACCTGAATAACTCCTTATGCATAAACAACGGGCTAAATGACCAAGTCAGAGGCTTTTATGGTTCAAGAATAACTTTCCCTAATTTTGAACAACGGACTGGATCCCTAGATCCTTGAATACGCTAACAACTATATCAAACTCCTTGCTCTTAGGCTTAACATGTAATTCTTAAAATGCAATTTAGCATGTACTTTTAGTCTTCAAGTTAACAAGTACTATATATGTCATACATGTTGTTCTTAATAGATTCTGAATAATACATTTCAGAATAAAAAAATCACATCTTTTTAATATTCATTTTCTTTATATATTTTGCTGAGTGTTTTTTTATTATTATTTGAATGACTTGTTTCTTGTTACAAGGTCGCACAATGAGCTACCTGAGCTGACACACCACAGGGATTGAACTCCGAATTTCACCATAATAAACCATTTACTTTTCCACTAATCCACCGATGGATATCTTTTTTTCAGTGGTAATTTTAGTTGCATTTTGCTGCAAAGTGGTCATGGCTATCTTTATATGTATAAGGTGCAGATCCAGAAATCTGTAAAGGGAAAGGTTGTCCAATGTTAAAAAATATATTCGACATGGAGGATGTTAAATATACAATCTCGCTGCTTTAGCGTAATATGTATATTACCAAATATTCACTGAGTAGTACTACTTATAACGTATGAACAACCACAGAATATCATCTACAAAAATCAGAAGATACGCTCGAAGATAATTTGTATATATTTTTCTATCTTTCTTGTAGTTCCATCATATTTAGATAATGCACTAATGACCTGTAAGGAATACTAAAAACTGGCACGTTACAATACCTGTGGTTATAGTAAATGTAATAGGTCTACATGCCAAGTCTGTATAACGTCTCGTATGATAATTCCAGTATTCAAATATAACCGATTTCTCAAACATTCACCTTCTGTGCACGGAATGAATTAGTTAACAAGCATATAATAATCAATGGGAACATCATAATTCAGATTCGTAAGAGTCATACTAATTCTATTTCTGATAAAAGTTTTGGTGCGTCTTAAACATCAAAATGGCCGCTCAGCTTCACAGCTGCTAACTGGTAGAGTGCAAACAATAACTAGAAGTGGACGACACTGAAAGAACTCAGGAGCTGCATGTTTCAAGGCGCTCAGAAAGCTATCAGACACATATTGCCTTGTACTCCAAAACCTCTTCCAATGTTTCAGTTCACTGATTAGGGTATAGGGTGATGGCAAGTCTTGTTACCAAAACTTAATACCTCTAACAATTGGGTTTCTTATAACAGATGGAACCAGAGCAAAGATCTGAACCGCAGTTCTCTTTTTCTTAGAAAACTGGATAGACATTTCTCCCTTCGAGTGATCAAGCAGGGGTGAGCCAAGGGCACGCAGAAATAAATCTCTGGCAATTCAGCTGTTACGTTTATCCTATTTCTCTGCATCTGTAGACATCCTTTCAACAAATCCAACGTTATCTGCCATTTCTTTAGCTGTTCTGTACCAAGCAAAGAGTGTTTGTTTGTAATTAAACACAAAGCTACTCAATGGGAGTATCGAAACTTGGTTTCTAGGGTTATAAGTCCGAAGACATAAGGCTGTACCACTTGGGGGGGGGGGGGAAAGCAAAAACTCAGCTTCAATTAAAATATAAATCTCACGATATTATATAGTTTTGTATCAAGATTTGTTTGTTGGTTGTTAAACACAAAGTTGCACAATAGTTTATTTATATACTCTACCCAACGCTGGTATTAAAACCCTATTTTTAACGTTGTAATCTCATAGATTTAACTATGAACTACCGAAGGTGTGGTGATGGGGGCTTGTATCAAGGATCACACTGTACCCTCTCAAGTTAGCGCTGAATAAATCAATATCATGTTGTCAGTTTACGTTTACATTTCAGACACAAGTATATGGGATACAGTTGTAGACTCAATCGTTTATTTTCCTTTTATTTTATTTTTTTATAATATTTTTTTTACATCTAATTTTGGCTTTTGGTTTAAAAAGAGTCATTAAATAACAAGTTTTGGATTCTTACAGGGGTGTCCTGACTCCCTAGGCCGCCATCTGCACTGGATCTGCTACTGAGAAATAATTTCGTTATAAGCATGAGCATCATCAATGAAGTAATCTAGAAAACGCCCTAGTTTGAAGTGGTAATGACTTCTTTTTTTGTCGTGAAAATATATAGCTGCAGCCGTGTACCTTGTAATAAAGTTACATTTTCTTTATTG